AAATAGGAGTCAATTAAAAAAAATATTTTCGATATTAGCTGCATTCGCAGGACAGTTTGCCTATGGTTAGGAACTATAGTTAACTTTCTGGGGTTGGGAAAGGCATCATAAATTGTTCGCGCAGACCGGATTGGCCTGACTGCAAACTTTAAAAATGTGTTTGGTTTATTTCTGGTTCAGCGTTGTGCAAAACCAGCCCTTTTGATGTCCACTTGCAACAAGAACATTTTGCAATTGGATTTCAAAAGGAGCGTATTTCACATTTGCATCACAGCTGTTTGGGGCAGAAAAGTAGCCCAGCTGAACTCTTAAGAGCCAAGTAAATCAAGCCAGATGTTTCTCCTAAGAGTCCAAATGAAGTTGTTTCAACCAGAGAAAGGAGAACATTCCCCCCCCCCCCCCCAAAAAAAGGTCACACTGGCAACCTCGATAATGTACAAGGGCATAAAATTTGTCTAAGTACACAGATGTGACGTGCCTTAAGTTGAGCCTATGAGGTAGAAAGTATTTTCAAAAAGTTGTCTTGTTTTGGACTGAACGTCGCTCCCCTGCCGTCCACCAGTGACACGTTGCAGATCTTTATATCAAGTACTAAAAAAAACAAAAAAGAGCACATTTTTTTCCATCTTTCTTGGAATTGGCTGCTGGGCTTCTGCTGCCCCCTGGTGGAATTTGTAGGAACAGCAGCTGAAACAGCTTTCTGCAATTAGATTCTATTATAAATCAATAAACAGGGAAGAGCCATGGATGCATAGAGTTCATTTAATTAAGTTGCTTTTCAAATCCGTGTGTGTGTGTGTTCTGTTTTCCTGACATTCTGGTACTGTTGCTTGTCTTTATGCACACACATACACACAAAATGTGTTTCATTGGAATCGTTGGAATGTGACGTCCAAGTCCAAGCTGAGCTGAGTGGGATGACATGTAGTGTAGTCCAACACATCTGGCATAGACTAGATTGTAAGAAGGCAAGTTCTAATCTTCTGAAGCCTTCCTTCCATAGATGCGTCTACTTGTATTGTTTAAGAGCTCCGGAAGATGTTCTGCAGAGAAAAGTTACAGTGTACCACAGTAGCGGTAGCACAGAAGTGTACCACAGAAGGTTGGCAGTTTGAGACCCAAGTACCGCAGGACGGGATGAGCTCCCGGGCTCTTGCTCCAGTTCCTGCCAACCTAGCAGTTCAAAAGCATCATCATAGTCTTCTTTTAATGACCCCATAATCCCTTGCGTCTGAGCAACTAAATGGAGCTGAGTGTTTACTGACCGGATGCCTTTCCTGTCGCCAGTGCAGAGGTTTTTTTCCCCAGCAGATATAGTCTCATGGTGCCCAGAGAGAGAAATATCTGCCTCTACTTAGGATCGAACTCACAGCCTCCTGATTGTGAGGTGAGAGCTCCACGTCTAGGCCGCCGCATCACTTATTAGCAGTTTGAAAGCATGCAAGTAGATAAATAGGTACCACTTCGATGGGAAGGTAATAGCATTCCATATTCCTCTGTATATTGTTATGCGGGCTACATGTCCACGGAAGCCTCTTCTGACAACACAGGCTTCATCAGCTAGGAAATAGATGAGCACCATCCCTGACATGACTGAACAGGGGAATTCTTAGTTATGGTGAACATCCAGGAAGCCATCTTGTTCATGGCTGCATCCCTGGGAGGGCAGGTAGAAGCTACTTTGAACCCCACAGGTGCTTTTTCAGGAGACCACTGAATTTTCTGTTTGTTTGTTTTTTCCGTTTAATCCAAGAAGCGTTTTCAGCTCTGACAGGATGGTGGGGCAGGGAAGGATTTATACACCTTGCAGACAGTTGGTCATTTGCATCCTTTCAAAGGGTCACTGAGGCCACTTGGAGGTTTATCTGTGTCCTCGGGGCCACCTGAGTGGTGCTCAAACGGCCAGCTGTCTGCAAGGAATATAAATCCCTTCCATTCCTCCCTATCCTGTCAGAGCTGAAGAAGCTACTTGGATGAGAAGTGAAACATCTTCAAAAGGAAAAAAAAAAAACAAGAAAGTTCAGTTGCCTCCTGAAAAAAGCACCTTTGGGACAACTATGACCTGGAGGACGGAGAACCTCTAAGACAGAGGTCTCCAACCTTGGCAACTTTAAGACTTGGGGACTTCAATTCCCAGAATCCCTCAGCCAGCAAAGCTGGCTGAGGGATTCTGGGAGTTGAAGTCCCCAAGTCTTAAAGTTGCCAAGGTTGGAGACCCCTGCTGTAAGAGACTTCTAACCCCACTGCAGGATCTCTGGAGGGTTCAGTGAAAGCTTGCTTCTCCACTGGGGTGAGGTTTGTTGTTGTTGTTGTTAAAATGTACTCTTAACAGTTGGGTTCTCCAAACTTCAGATCAGTACCAAAGCACTGATAAGGTGTTTTTTTTTCCCTAGACATTTAGCCCAGATTTCCAGCAAGTCTTCCTCCAGGCAATGGTTAAGAACCATTGCAAGGATTCCAGGATAGAAACATCCGTACAGTAAAACGAACAGCAAGCTCTTATTTTGAATAAGTGTAAAAAGAACAAGAAAATAATACTGCCAAGGATTGTGCGTTGTGATTGGAAAGCTTGGTGAAGTCGGTTCTGACAGACGTTTCCAAAAGAATTAAGTGATCAAAGCTGCACAGGCTGGGCTTAAGTGACACACACACAGAGAGACACACGGACACACACACCCCACACACAGTGCTGGAAAACACTTGCTCCACAATAATAGTTATGTCAGCTATGGACCGCTGGAGAGTCAGGGAGAGCTGGGCTCGTTTGTCAAAAGCAAACTACGGCATCTGACAGCTCCATTATTAGGTGGGACTTGCTTGGTGGACCCTAAAGAGAACCCCCAAGGATCCGGCTGCCAGGAACGTAGTGAAGCTTCATTTTGGGATGAACTAGGATGCTGGATCTAATTTAGAAAGTCTGTGACATTAGATAAGCAACCATTATTATATCATAACATTGCCCCGATAAGCAACCATTATTATATCATACAGTGCCCAGAATCCCTCTCTGGAGGAGATAGGCAATTAAGAAATCTTTCTTTCTTTCTTTCTTTCTTTCTTTCTTTCTTTCTTTCTTTCTTTCTTTCTTTCTTTCTTTCTTTCTTTCCTTTCTTTCTCTCTCTCTCTCTTTTTCTTTCTTTCTCATCTCTATCGCTATCTCTATCATCTCTCTCTCTCTAAATGGCTGTGTGTGTGTGAATGTTCCAGCATAACTCTGGAACGTCCCAAGCAATTTCAATCAACCTTGGTACACAGATTACTTACTCTCTGGAAACAAATATTGTGGGGGGGGGGGGGGGTAAGACATCCCCAACACCCCTCGGGGTGAGTGTTCTGTTAAGCTACAGGCTGTTGTGCCTTCAAATGGCTTCTACCATACTGCCTTCAAATGGCTTCTACTGCACAGCGCTGTGGAGCTGCCATGGTAACGGCTTCACAGCACTCCACAAGGGGCGCTCTCTGGTAAGGGGGAAAATCCAACGTTAGAAATTACGTTTGTTCCGGGTCGCCCAAATTGAGGCTTTTCCTATCTAATATAGGATTAGGATAAATAAATACCTGGGGAAACGCCGGGTTATCAGCTAGTATGAAATAAAAACAAACCAGCAACTTTCAAGGAAATAATATATCGTTCTATTCCCGTTGCTCCCATTCCTGCTTTTTAATATTGAATCTGTGTTTTTCTGTTAACATTTATTTCTTTACACTGTAGATTTCCCATGTTTGCAGATCCTTTTTCTCCCATCAGCTGACGCCCAGGCTCCGATTTTGTACTAAACGACGTCTGTTTGGTTTGGCTCAGCCTGTTGTAGGAACTCCACCACTGGGATTTTCGCACACTTTAAATAAGCCACGAGTTAACGTAAGATGGAAGCTTAGCTGCGTGCAAGCCTTGCGCTTTGTTCCTCAAAGCTATCTCCGGTGGCTCTTTTTATCCCAGCATTCGTTTCAGTAATGTTTATGTATGTGTGTGTGCACGCGCACACACTGGGTGAACATGTAGCTCACATATCAAGAGTCCCCACGGTTGAAACAGATCTGCAACCAAGTTTTTTCAGAATGTTTTTAGAAATTCTGGTACTGTCAGTGCAAACAACAAAGCGTTTAGAGACTGGCAAAAGGGCAAAAGTGAGCTTTGATTTTTCCCAAAGATGTTTATACAGGTAGTCCTTGACTTACGATCCCAAAATTGCACCTAACGTCTATTGCTAAGCGAGACAGCTGTTAAATGAATTTTGTCCCATTTTACTGCCTTCCTTGCCACTGTCGGTAAGTGAATCACTGTGGTTGTTAAGCCAGTAAGAGGCTTGTTAAGGGAATCTGGCTTCCCCGTTGACTTTGCTTGATCACGTGACCATGGGGATGTTGCAATGGTTGTTAAGTGTGAAAAACGGTCATAAGTCACCTTTTTCTGTGCTGTTGTAAATGCACTGTTGTAAATTGAGGACTAGCTGTACGTCTATTGGAAATGTTTATTTCAGGGACAAACGTATGAAGTTAAGATTAAAATGATTCTCTACTGGGATATATCTGACAGCTTGTCTTGTGTTATGAATGCAATCCTCAAGTTACTTATTTCTCAGTTAGAAGCTAAGAAACTGGGTAAAATTATCATTTTTTTTTGTCATCTTATCTTAAACTGGTCTTTAAGGATAGGCAAATCTGGCAGAAAAACTACAGACATTTTCGTAGTATGGCCCGACAGAGTCTTATTTTAGAACCCCAATTCAGACAGACACTGGTTACAGGTTAATTCAACACCCACAATTTAATCAACAAAGACAATTACAAATAATCGGATTATTGATAATAATCAATAATCAATCAAATCATCAAATTATCAATTAACTCTACCTGAGCGAGTTATAGATAACTTAATCCATACTTCCAATTGATCCTTACTCTATTTAAATAGGTTTGTGGTTCAATTCTGTGTGTTTTTTGTAACGTTTGCTTCCTTTGAAATAACAGAAAAACACGCTGGAGTGTGCGGTCTTTTCACCAATGGGTAAAAAGGAGGGATAATGCTTTTATACGTGTGACAGGAGGAAACCAGCTGGAGCAAGGATGGTTTTCATTTTATTTGTGTACTCAGAGGAAAATGCTGCCCCTCTTCCATTCTTCTCGTTTGACTTTGAGAAGTGGAGCTGCAATTTTCTGCAAGACCATTTGGAAGGGCCTCCTTCCTATTTATATAAGTAAGTCTTTTTAAGCACCGGACTACAAATCAATTCAAGTTTTGTCTGCTGAGCGGAGGGAAAGCCCAACTTTCTACAATTTCTCATAGAAGAAAAAAAAAAAAGGCTTCAGGGTAGCAGGGAGGTCCCTTCTTAAAAAGTTTAAATTAATTGCAAAAAAAAAAAGATTTTAAGGAATTATATATACCTACTACATGGGAACCGTTCTGCATGAAGTTACAACTGGTCTAGTGCGCGGATTATGTACATATTTACAAAACAGAATAAGTTACATGGATGCCTCACGAATGTGAATCTTCACCCTGGGATGCAAAGTGATTTTTTTTCCCCCACCTGGCTGAGATGTACGGCCATCACGACTGGAGAACTGGAGTTCACAGGGCGATTCGCAAAGGAGCTGGTCGATTTAAGCTGCCAACGTGTTGCAAAGTTGCAAGAGTAGTGCTTCCAAGGTATTTTTTTTTCTTCTTTCTCCCTGAGGGTCCAAGCTCTTTTATGGGAAAGCAGTTAGACGCCATTGGCGCTGGCTTTGCTGTTCCGGGGAGCTTCTATTTTACTCTTTTGAAAGGAAGGAACAACGGGCAAAATATGAGTAACGAAGGTAAAAGGAGACAACTATTGTGTTTGTATTTTATCCTTTTCCCCCCCGAAAATTAGACCCAATCTTATTTTCTTTTGGTCCCCGAAATAAGCACCAGGACTTATTTTGGGGGGGATGTCTTACCCGCTTGCCTAAGGACCACACCGCAGCCACAAACAGGTACGGGGCGTGTGGGGCAGTTCCACCCCTCACTCCGGCTTGCTTTTTACGCATGCACCTTGCCCCACATCGCACAACCAGACGGTGTAATGGAGTGGGTGGGGTCTTAACTAGGGCTTATTTTGGGAATAGGTCTTATATTCGTCGCATACATAAAAACCAAACCGGGGTTTATTTTGGGGGTAGGTCATATTTTCGGGGAAACACGGGGTGTGTTTGTCACTTCAAGGAGGTAAACACATCTTAATACTCCTGCCTCTTCCTATTTTTCCCCACAACAACAACCTTGTGAGGTGGGTTGAGCTGAGAGAGTAAGCTACTGGCCCAAAGTCACCCAGCTGGCTTTCCTATCAGAAGGAGGCCTAGAACTCAGTTTCCTTAACCACCACACCCATATTTTCCAAACAGGGCCTTTTAGGCTCTGTGGGCTTGAACTCGCAACCAGATGCCTGGGGCATCCTGGGAGTTTTAAATCCAGACATCTTAAAAGTTGTCATGTTTGAAAAAACAGTATACTGGTAGTCCTCGATTTATGACCACAATTGAACCCAAAATTTCTGTTCTTAAGTGAGACATTTGTGAAGTGAGTTTTGTCCCATTTTACAGTGGCCACCATTTTAAGTGAATCACTGCAATTGATAAGTTGATAAGCTCGGTTCTTAAATTAATCCGGCTGCCCCACTGATTTGGCTGGTCAGGAGGTTGCAAAAGGGGATGACGTGACGTTGGGAAACAGCAATGGTCATAAGTATGAATCGGTTGCCAAGCTTCTGAACTCTGATCACATGATCATGGGGATTCTACAAAGGTGGTAAGTGTGAAAAATGGTCATAAGTCACTGTTTTCAGTGCCGTTGTAACTTTGAATGGTCACTAAATGAACTGCTGTTAGGCAAGGACTACCTGTAGTACATCAGCTGGCTCTCAGTGTTTTCAGAGGTGGAAAGGTCACAAATGGTGATCACATGATCCCAGGACACTACAACCATCATAAATAGAGCCATGGTGGCACAGTGGTCAGAATGCGGTACTGCAGGCTCCTTCTGCTGACTGCCAGCTGACTGCAATTCGGCAGTTCAATTCTCACTGGGCTCAAGGTTGACCCAGCCTTCCCTCCTTCCGAGGAGGGTAAAATTAGGACCCAGATTGTTGGGAGCCATAGGCTGACTCTGTAAACCGCTTAGAGAGGGCTGTAAAAGAACTGTGAAGCGGGATATAAGTCTAAGTGCTATTGCAATGCCAGTTGCTAAGCACCTGAATTTCGGTCAGGTGACCATGGGAATGCCGCAATGGATGTGTAAAAAACATCACAAGTCATTTTCACAGTCACTAAATGAACGTACTGTGGCATTTGCTTGCTCTCCAGACCAAAAAGCAATTAGAGTTTCAAAGAGCAGGCAGCAGTGTGGAATCGAAAGTACATTCCATTCATATTTTCTTCAAAGACTGATTAGATGGCTGAAGCTTCTGCCGAGAAAAAATCTTTGGAGAGCATGATTGATGACTCTTGGCTATGGACGTTTTTCGTTGGATGATACATCCAGAGGGGTGGTGGTGGGGAAAGCAGGATCAAGGGTGACAGTGAATTACATATGTCAGAGTTGGCTAGGCCCAGGTTAGTGCCGGACGTAGAATGATAGCTTCAAATAAATCCTCTTTATTTTGGGGTGGTGTTGGCTCGAGGCTCATGATTTAATTGGAGTACCTGCCGGAACCCTGACAGAATGGATAGAAAGAGATGTAGGTTCTTCCCACCCATGGACCTTCTGCCAGGGTTTTTTTTTTTTTTTGTACACTATGGGTCCAAAAGTAAAACTCACCTCTCCCACAGGAGGCTTCACTGACATTTCAGGAACTGATAATTTGTCTTTTGGCGGCAATATAAATTCTTCACTCTTCGAAGCGGAGGGAAAGAAGAAATGAAGTCAAGCAAATTCCATAGATTTGGTATTCCAGAATCAGAACCAACTGACTGAACTGTTCCATATTCCGACATGTTTAACATTAAGGATGCCATCAATTTTCTTCTGCTATCAAAAGAAGCTTGGTTATCATGTGGTACCCAAAAGCTCTGATGGTGTTATCTAGTTAGGGTAATAAAACGTCTTCAAAGACACAAGGGAGCTCCAAGGACCCCTCGGAGCTTGGTTATTCATTTCTACTACAATCTGGATTTGGTAGAAAAATTATGGGGTATGAGCTAATTCTTGATGGGACCGCATTCTTCCATAGCAGACACATAAAGCCAAACTGTATTTATATGCCCTTCAAAAGAGACAAAAGCTAAGAAGGAAACCGAAACACCAGAACCACATCCTCTTATATCTACCAGCACCCAGATAAGCGGGGGATGACACCAGACCAACAAACAAGTAGAAAACAATATCTTAAGGAAGCTACCAAACAGACAAACTATCAAGCAGAAAACAATACCATAATTGGAGTGGAATGTAGTCTGGATTCCCAGGAGGGAGGGGCTGCATTCAGAGAACAAAGAGGCAGCGAAGCATGGAAAGTACAATGGGAGAAAGAGGATTAAGAAGGATCCTCCCTAACTGTTCCCAGAGTGTATCTGTAGCGATGTAAATAGTTCTTTTTAGTTTGGCAAGATTTCTGTCTATAGGAGAGAAACAACAAAGAAATTGCTCAGAAGCAGCGTGATGGCTCTTTCTTGGCTCTTAAGCCCTGACAGTCAAGGAACTAACTAGGAAAAAAAAAATCACACTCCCACCAACACTGGCAGGGTAAGCTATTATAAATAGGGGGGGGAAAGACCACATTCTCTAGTACTGATGATGCTACCTAGATGGGTAATGAAATGTCTCCAAGCAAACAACCTAAGCTCAGAGGATACCAAGGGCTCCAAAATAGGCACAGCTGAAATCATACACCCCAATTCTCACCTTCCTTTCCTGCACGTTGGGGGCAGAATCCAACAAGGTCTCCTCCTCTTCCTCCTCCTCCTCCTCCATTTCTGCATCTTCACTCTTCAGAGGCTAAAGAACAAATGAAATGCCTGGATTAAGACAACCCCGGATGACGCAATAGCACAATATAACACACACGTAGTTAGAAAGCATTGTGACCTTCTTTAGTCTACTTAGCTATCAACAAAGCTCAAACTGTACGTGCTGCAATTAAACACTTAGCAAGAACAAGAGTTCTCCTAGGCTCCCAGAAGCTGTACTGTACGTACAGTTAATGTGTCCATTCAAGAAAAAGGTTTAAGAAATGGAATCAGTAATTTACTGAGTAAATTACTGATTAAAATTACCGTTAAAATTACAATAAAGCAAAACCTGAGCCTTTGATTCCATAGACTCCATTTTCCCCCAAGGGCAAAGCCTTTCATGGGGAAGGGGGATAAATTTCTGGATTTACCTTCTACCATGCTGATGGTAAAATCAAAGCCTCATGGGATTTGTTGTACTGTGTGTAAGTTGGCTGAAATATACTGCTGGTTTAAGGTAAAGGAAGGGAATCTGTTATTCTAACAGGTTTTTCTTCTTTCTTCTCAAACCCTCTCAGTGCAATGAATGTACCCTCCAGGGACATCTGACTACAATAATCTGGAAGAGGCCAAGCAATAGCACTTAGCAAGAGCACTTAGACTTACATACGGCTTCACAGGGCTTTCCAGCTCTCTCTAAGCGGTTTACAGTCAGCCTCTTGCCCACAACAATCAGGGTCCTCATTTTACCCACCTCGGAAGGATGAGTCAACCTTGAGCCAGTCAGGATTGAACTCCTGGCTGTGGGCAGAGTCAACCTGCAATGCTGCATTCTAAACTGGGAAGGAAGGAAGGAAGGAAGGGAGGGAGGAAGGAAGGAAGGAAGGAAGGAAGGAAGGGAGGAAGGGAGGGAGGGAGGGAGGGAGGAAGGGAGGAAAGAAGGAAGGAAAGGAAGGAAGATAGCAATAGTACTTATATACCACTTCACAGTGCTCTACAGCCCTCTCAGCAGTTTACAGAATCAGCCTCCTGCCCCCAACAATCTGGGTCCTCATTTTACTACCTCGGAAGGAGGGAAGGCTGAGTCAACCTTGCATTGGTCAGAATCGAACTGCTGACAGTGGGTGGAAGGAAGGAAGGAAGGAAGGAAGGAAGGAAGATAGCAATAGTACTTATATACCACTTCACAGTGCTTTTCAGCCCCCTCTCTAAGCCGTTTACAGAATCAGCCTCTTGCCCCCAACAGTCTGGCTCCTCATTTTACCAACCTCAGAAGGATGGAAGGCTGAGTCAACCTTGAATTGGTCAGAATCGAACTCATAGCAGTGGGCAGAGTCAGCCTGCAATGCTGCATTCTAACCACTGCGCCACCATGGTTCCGCCAAGGCCCAGCAAGGAGAAGCTGCTACCCCTCGCTTCCTAGTCTTGCTCGGGAAACAGACCAAGTCTGTCTGACAGTCACTGCTCCAAAACCCGCTCACCTTAGTTGTATTCACCACCATTGGTTTGGGACTCACGTCGGTCAAGTACAAGGCACGAGAAAGCAGCAGCAAAGAAGGGGGAACTTTTTCTTTGAGGTTCAAATCCAGCCACTGTACAGCAGAGACGAGGAGAAAGAGCGTTCACAGCAATTTTCTGGGAAATTAACCTTTTGCAAATCCGAAACATCCAGATGCAAACAACCTTTTTCTGTAGCAAAATACTTTCCTTTATATTCTGCACTGGTATGGCTCTCTGACTGAGACCGGAAAATTCCTGACACACTGAAACTGGAAAGCACGTTATATTTTGTTCTCATGGTCCTTCCCCAAAGGTGCTTTGGAAAGGAACAATCAAGATAAATGGAGTCTTCCCCACACTGAAATTGGCGGGATATTGGTTGCAAGGAGGCGCGATGGCTCAGTGGTTAAAGATGCCGAGCTTGTCAGCTGGAAAGCTGACAGCTCGGGTTCGAGACCCGAGTGCTGTGCAGCAGGATGAGCTCCCATCACTTGCCTCAGCTCCTGCCCCCCAGCAGTTCTAAAGCATGCAAGTAGGTAAATAAGTACCACTTCAATGGGAAAGTAAGAGAGTTCTGTGCACCTGGGTGTATAGTCGTGCTGGCTACAGGGCCACAGAAATGTTTTCAGATAACGCTGGCTCCCTTGGCTAGGAAGCAGAAATGAGTACCAACCCCTAGCGACATCCACGACTGGACAGGGGAAACTTTTACCGTTACCTGCTAGGTTGCAAGAACTCCAACCATAAGGAGGAGTTAAAAGCTCAGAAGAAAGCCACCCACTCTTGCTGGAAGATTGAAGTGGCTGCAGGTGTGGCGAGACCATTTCTGACTCTAAAGCTGCTGGCTGCCAAACCTGAGCTATACTCTCGAGATTTTAACTGCTCGGGATGGAAAGGGAGCTTCCTGCAGCCCAGCACTGCATCCTAAGAAGCTGCTTTCAGTACCTGCTGAGAGCCACTAATGACACCTACTTAAGCAGCCGCTCATTCCTCTCTGCTCCATTTGGGTCCTTAGCTCAGCTGGAACAACTGTCTGTAAAGTTAAACTGGAATACTTTCGAATCTCGTTCTGAGCCAATAGGCCAACTATAGATCTGGCCTCAAAATCAGACCTGCCATCTCTTTTTTTTTTTTAAAAAAAACCAAATTTTATTAATTTTGTATTAATTACATTTCTTAGTGCTTAATAAACATCATGTTATCTGCATGTTGAATTTGCTTAGCAATACAGATTCCATTCTTACTTCCCACCCCATTTTTCCCAACCACGGAAGACGTAAGTTCCATGTTTGATAATATTCTAGACCTGCCAACTCTCAATAGCAACCTTTTCCAATGTGATGCTCTTCAGAATCAGTGAACCTCTCCCATTTTTGCAGATGTTGGTTTGGAGTAAGAAGTTACTGCCTATCGGTGAAGCAACAGAGGTCGGTAGACGCGGTGTTAAAATATCACATGGGCCTTTTGGGGGGAAAAAATTAAAAAGGTTGCCTTGGCCCATTTTAGCATCCCAAACAGATGCTCGGAGGGAAAGACCAGTCCGGATGATGAAGCCGCCAGATACCTTTGGATATTCTTCTCATCCTCAATTCCCATCCTTCCCTCCCTCATCCCTAACTTACCTGGTTCAGTTGCTCTTTGAGCTGGTCCTCCGTAAGGCCTAGTGACCTCATCCCTCTTGCTCTGCATGCACTCTGCAGCTCAGACACGCTCAAGCCATTAACGCCTTCCTTGGCTATCATCTACAGGCAAGAAAGAGAAAAAATCAGCTTCAGATGGTTGTGAGCCACGGTGGCCCAGTGGTTAAGAGTGCAGTACTGCAGGCTCCTTCTGCTGACTGCCGGCTGCCTGCAATTTGGCAGTTCGAATCTCACCAGGCTCAAGGTTGACTCAGCCTTCTGTTCTTCCAAGCCAGGTAAAATAGGCTGACTCTCTAAACCGCTTAGAGAGGGCTGGAAAGTATTGTGAAGCAGTATATGCTACTGCTAGTTTCTTTCTTTCTTTCTTTCTTTCTTTCTTTCTTTCTTTCTTTCTTTTCCTTCCTTCCTTCCTTCCTCCCTCCCTCCCTCCCTTCCTTCCTTGGTGGCATAGTTGTTAGAATGCAGTATTGCAGACTGACTCTGCCAGCAGTTCGATCCTGACCGGTTCAAGGTTGACTCAGCTTTCCATCCTTCCAAGGTGGGTAAAATGAGGACCCAGATTGTTGGGGGCAATAGGCTGACTCTGTAAACCGCTTAGAGAGGGCTGTGAAGCACTGTGAAGCAGGATATAAATCTAAGTGCTTTCGCTATTGCTATTGCGTAGATCATTTAACAAAATCAAGGCTCCTATTCAGGCTACTGCCATTTTAGAAGGGATCTAAGTAACCTGTTCTTGCCAATAACATGCAACATTTAGCCAACTTCATTCTCTTGGCCAGCTTGCCCTGCATTTAAAGATAGCTTTCTTTTTCACAGTGAAAATTTTAAATTGCAAAACATAGCTTTGCTTCCTTAAATCTGCACATCTGCAGCCATGCTCAGAAGACACACATATGCTGATATTTTAGACCTGTACATGGTGTAAGCAATCAACTGGTTAAAAGGCAGGTGATAGATTAACAATATCCTGCTTGGTTAGGAGCCTAGTTTCAATCATCTCAAGAAAAGCACATCAAAGAAATTAATGAAAATTTATAAACTGCATTTATGATCAATAGATGACAAGGGAGGAAGCAATCAAAATTCACTGGCTGCCTCAACCTAACGATACTAAATTAATCTCAGAGAATCCTTAGGCCGGCTCATTAATTAGCTTAAAAGCCTTTGTTTTCCCTCTTGTGATTATCTGCCTTGATATTAAACTACTTTCTCCTACCTTATTTCTTTATTTCATTTGTTAAGCAAATTTCCTATTTAGTACTTTTCATGATTCCTCCTGTTGCAATTAGTACCATTGCTCTAGAATCAGAGAAGACTTTTATGCTCTCGGCACCCAACTACAATTGAAAATGAGGTTTTTGTGAACTTTTGTTTAACCGTTTTTTGAACAGAGGTGGAATAAGATCGAAGAAATCTCAGCAACTGTATTGTTTTAAGTTTAGAACCTAAGATCAATTTTTTTTTAAAAAAAGAGGCCTTTTCAGTTTAGATTTGATTTGACATTACAAATGGATTCTTTGTGAAAGATGAGGATGCTAATCAATTTGTTGAAAGTGAAGAAAGTGTAGATGATAACAGAATCAGAGTTGAAAGGGACCTTGTTGGTCATCTAGTCCAACCCCCTGCCCAAGTAAGAGACTCTACACCATTTCTGACAAATAAGGAGAAACTTTCTGACAGTAAGAACAATCAACCAATGGAACAGACGTTGCCCTTGGAAGTTGTGGGAGCGCCATCAGTTGAGACTTTCAAGAAGAGATTGGACTGCCATCTGTCAGAAATGGTGTAGGGTCTCCCGCTTGGGCGGGGGGTTGGACTAGATGACCTACAAGGTCCCTTCCAACTCTGATTATCTGATCTGTTTGAAATGGCACTTCTTGAAAGTCTCAAGTGATGAAATTTTCACAACTTCCAAGGGCAACTTCTGATCCATTGGTTGATTGATCTCACTGTCAGAAAATTTCTCCTTATTTCCAGGTTGAATCTCTCCTTGTTCAGTTTCCATCTATTATTCCTTGTCTGGCCTTCGGGTTCTTTAGAAAATAGCTTGACCCCCTTCCTCTCTATGGCATCCCCTCAAATATTGGAACACCGCTATAATGTCTCCCTTGATCCTTCTATTCACTAGACTAGCCATACCCAATTCATTTGTTTTAGTCTCCAGTCCCCAATCATCCTGGTTGCTCTTCTCTGCACTCTTTCTAGAGTCTCAATATCTTTTTATAGCGTGGTGACCAAAACTGGATGCAGCACTCTAGGTGTCGTCTTACTAAGGCTTTACGGAGTGGTATTAGTGCTTCCCTTGATCTTGATTATCCCTCTATTAACGCAATTTAGGATTGCATTAGCTTTTTTGGCTGCTGCTGCACACAGCTGGCTCCTATTTAGCTGGTTGTCCACTAAGACTCCAAGATCCCTCTCACTTACTGCTATTAAGCCTGCTTTCACCCAGTCTATATGTGTACTTTTGGTTTTTCTTGCCTAAGTGTAGGACTTTACTCTTCTCTACATTGAATTTCATTTTGTTAAATATGGCCCAGTGTTCTAGTCTGTCAAGATCCATCTGGATCGTGAGCCTATCTTCCAAAAGTAATTTGTTTTCATTTGCAGTCAGACTTGAGAGGCCATCTTAGAAGAAGTTGGATTCATGGAGGATGATCGTCATGGTCTCTTTCCAAAACATCTAGTAACCAATGCCTTAAAGACCTTAAGCCAGCAATCCCCAACCTTTCCGCCTTGGGGGCCAGGCTGGGGAGGGTGTGTGGAGGGATGGTTCTGTGTCAGCAGTAGGTGTGGCCCTCTGCTCACACAAATGGGAGCTTCACCTGTGAGCGCAAGCATGAATGCCCGCCAGTTGTGCAAGCGGAGCTGCGCACCTGTGCTCCCCCGTTGCTTGGGGTTGGGGATTCCTGCCTTGCTATATCATTCCTATCTCAAAGAACTGTTTGCAGATCTCAACCTACAGCTCCAGGATCTATCTGGAGTTAAAAGAGTATTAAATGTCACTATTTGAACAACCTTGCAAACTTTTTGCAAACTTGGCACTGAGCTAGAGACCCTGGTTCCATTCTGCATTGATCAGGGGGCTCTGGGCTAATGATGGTTTTTCGGCCTAACTTACCACGGTTCTCGTGGGTTATTAGCATGAGGAAAGATCCCTAAACTCGCTGTGAACATTTGCAAGTGCATTCAAATTAACTAGATTGAAGGAGCGATTTTTTTTCCCCCCTAAGCTCTTGGCAAAAGACGGGTGCATCTCCTTACCTCGTCATCAACTTTGATGGATCTGAGCTTCATCAAAAGCTGGAAGCGGAGGAGGTTGTTGGTGCCAATGGGCTGCAACTCCAGCAGTTTGCAAAGGATGACCAGCTGGGACCGCTCCAAGTGTTCCAGGGTCAGCTCATCCTCGAACAGCTTGGAAAACTGCACAATTTCCTGAGTGCTGGGTTGTTGGCCGCTATGTCGAACCTACACGCATAAATGAGGACTCCAGAATCGGTCTCCCCAAACCCACTGCTAGTTTTCTTTATAATAATAAAGTAAAGGTTCCCCTTGCACATACGTGCTAGTCGTTTCCGGCTCTAGGCGGCAGTGCTCATCTCGGTTATAAAGCCAGCGCTGTCCAAAGATGTCTCCGTAGTCATGGGGCCGGCATGACTAAACACCTTCGAAGGCGCACGGAACGCTGTTCCCTTCCCACCAAAGGGGTCCCAATTTTTCGACTTGCATTTTTTATATGCTTTCGAACTGCTAGGTTGGCAGAAGCTGGGAGAAGTAACCGGACTCCTCTCCGTGACACAGCGGTAGAGATTTGAACCGCCGAACTGCCAACCTTTCTGATCGACAAGCTGAGCATCTTGGCCACTGAGCCACAGTGTCCATCTTTATCATGATAAGGCGGCCCAAATTAAAGACTTTTTCCCTCACAGAGAGAAAAGTTTGGTACCATCATTTTACCTCAAGACAGCAAGCAAACTCTGTCTTGTCTGCCACTGATTTTAATGATACATATTTGGTAATCTTTAATATTTCATCTTTAATATTTTTCCTCTTTTAATTCTTTATATTGTTTTTCAATATTTTTGCATTTCCCTGGTATTATTACAGTCATAGAAAATCTAAGGCTGTTGGAAGCAAGAAATATATTTTTCATTATTTGCATCTATTGTTATTTTTCATCCTTGTTCAGAAAACTGGACATCTTAAAGACGCAGAGTTTCTAATAAATGCATTCAGTTAAAATTACTGTAAGCCCCTCATGGTGGTATGAAATTACAGAAACTTACAAATTTGCAATACTTTTAACATCAAACTGAGAATTAAAACCACATAATTCCTCCCTTCAGATATAAGCTTATAGATTATCCCACAAGTATTGTTCAAAAGGCAGCTGGACTTTCTTGGGTTTTTTTTTGTTTGTTTGTAAACGTTCTTCACAACTAAAAGAAGCTTCTTGGATGAGAAGCAAAACATTTTCAAAGAAAAAAAGCAAGAAAGTACACCTGCCTTTTGAACAAAGGGCTACGGAGTTTCCCAATCATCCAGGTCATGGTTGTCCCAAGGGTGCTTTTTCAAGAGGCAAACTGGACTTTCTGGTTTTTCTTGGAAGACGTTTCGTTCTTCTTTGGAGAAGCTCCGCTGAAGAAGCTTCTTGGATGAGAAACAAAATGTTTTCCAAGAAAAACCAGCAAGTGCAGTTGCCTCTTGAAAAAAGCACCTTTGGGATGCCGTTTGAATAGCATCTTTGGGACAACCATGATCTGGATGGTTGAGAATCTCCAGACATGAAACCAACGTGTTGATTGAGGCTCCATCAAACACCTTAAGGGGGTTACTTTTGATGTTTCAATTTTGGTTTATAAATGTTAAGACCCACGGACTTCATGCTAGCTGGGGAGTCCTGGGAGTCCAAGTCCCAAAAATCTTAAAAGTTTCCAAGGTTGCACGGTCCTGATTTCAACAGTTCCATCTTATGGGAGGCCTTTGAAGCTTAGCAACCACTTTTAAATGAAGCATAAAGCTCCCGCTTTTCTATTCCCCGAGGGAAACCTACCTTCTGAACGTAGGAAGAGAAGAGCTGGGTAGCTGCTCCTGTGCTGGCTTTGTTTCTCCTTGCCAACTCTGCAATTGTCTCCTGCAAGAATTTGGCTAGCTCCAACTTCGCACTCAGTTTCTTCCTTTGCTTTTCTTCCTTGGTGCAAAGAATAATGAGAAAGGTAAGGAATTCTCTCTTGCCGTTCCTGGCAAAAGTAAAGCTCTGTTTTCTTTTCATTGTACCACTTGCTGGGAAATGGGGGTGGGAGGATATTCTAAAGGGAGAGAGAAAAAAGTATCAAAAAAGAGCCAAAGAGCCAACAATGTTTCTTATAGAGAGACTGCTACCTATTCTCTGCACTTCAAACCCACCCGTGGACAGACTCAAAACACTACAGCTTCAAGGCAACGTGTATTTTCGTTTTCATTCAGCTCCCCCCAAAGGCTTTAAAGAAGTTTAAAACTCTTCCGGGTCCTCTTTGCAAAAGTATAAGTTAATCCTCAATTTGCAACCAAAATTAAGCCCAAAATTTCCGTGGCTAAGCAAGGCAGTTGCTAAGTGAGTTCTGCCCCAATTTGCGACCTTTCTTGCCAGTTGGCAAGTGAATCTCTGCAGTTGTGTGAAGTTAGTAACACGGTTGTTAAGTGAATCTGGCTTCTCTATTGACTTTGCTTGTCTTGCAAAAGGGAACAATGTGACCCCCTGGAGACACTGCAACAGTCATAAGTACATGCCAGTTGCCAAGAGTTGTCCCAATTTTGATTAGAGGGAGGCTGCAAACAGTTGTAAGCGTGAAAAACGGCCCTAAGTCACTTTTTTTTCAGTGTTGTTGTAACTTTGAACAGTCACTAAAGGAATGGTTGTAAGTTGAGGATTACCTGCATTTTCCAGTGTCATCATACACTCTCTAGCATTTCTGGAGGGTACAGCATATGCCCGTGATGGTGAACCTATGGCACATAGAGTCATTTGTGTGGGCACATGAGCCCCAGCCACTTACCTGCACTGCGCATGCCTCCCAGCTGATTTTCGGCCTGTTTGAGGCCTTTTTCAGCCCGTTGCAGGCTGAAAAACAGATCTGTTTGGTCACTTCCTGTATTTCCGGAAATACCGGAAGTGATGAAACGGGCCCATTTTTCAGCCTCCAAAGGCTGCAGAGGCTACCCTTGAGCCTCTGGGAGGCCAAAAAAGGCCTTAAAATGGCTGAAAACCAGCTGGGAGGCGCGCAGTGCAGGTAAGGGAGTGGCTGGGGGGGGGGGTGCATTGCCTTCTGGGTGCTGGCACACACGCTCACGCACACAATTTTCAGCACGGGAATCCAAAAAGGTTAGCCACCGCTGGCATATGCCATTGTTGTACATTCTAATTCCAAAACCATCTCCGGTATTTTAGAATAAGAATAGAGAATAGAAAAAAGGATAGAAAAGAGAATTCATTATTGGCCAAGTGTGATTCGACACACAAGGAATTTATGTCCAGTGCATCAGCTTTCAGCGTACATACGAACACCACTCATGTGTTGTGCATGCAAACAACTGTATGTTGTACATACAAACAACACTTACACAAGCGGTAAGTCATACATCATAAATCGTAAGATACAATCTTAGAATAGAATGAGCTGGAAAGGACCTTGGAGGTCTTCTCGTCCAACCCCCTTGCTCAAGCAGGAGAACCTATACCAGTTCAGATAAGCGACTGTCTAGATTCTTCTCAAAAACCTCCAGTGACGGAGCGCCCACAATTTCTGGAGGCAAAGCTGCTCCACTGGTTAATTGTCCTCATTCTAAGGAAGTTTCTCCTTAATTCCAGGTTGCTTCTCTCCTTGATTAGTTTCCGTCCCTTGTTTCTTGTCCTGCCCTCTGGTGCTTTGGAGAATAATTTGACCCCACCTTCTTCTTTGTGGCAGCTCCTCATAAATCATAAAACAAAGGGTAAATCATAAGATACCAAGAGGAGAAGATAGATGAGACGATGAGAAAAGAGAAGAATATGTCTTGCGAATCTTTACAAATGGCAGAGCAAGATAATTCTGCTATACGCTACTCTCTTTGACTATGCAAAAGATTGCCTCTTTTGTTCATCCTTTCATTTCAACCTCCCTCCACGCTGCCCGAGGTAGCATGCATTATGCGCCTTGCATCTTCTCTGCCTGAGCAGGAGGGGGAAAAAACCTCATCAAAATGATTCAAGAGCTTTGTGTCTCGGTGAGGGTTTGAACACAGGTCATCCTAGGTTCTTGTCCTCCTCCACTTCTTGCGAAGATTAATTCTTCTAGAAGGGCTAGATTTTATATCAGGCTGGAGGCAAAGGATTCCTAAGATACAGGCGTCGTGACATAGCTCGACCCAAAGATTGAGCTTTTTTTTTTTTTCAAAATTGAAAATACTGACCTTTTTCGATTCGGTTTCAAAGGTTGAAGGCAACATCTCGGGAAAGAGTTTAAGAAATACAGGCAACAGGAATTCCATGAAAGGTACTATGATGAACACCAAGAATGGAACTAGCCGGAAGAGATCTGCTGACGTCCTCATCAGCTGCAGAAAACAGAAACACAAAGCCAAAACATGACACGGTCCATACATTGCCTTAAGGCAGGGGTAATCGTAGACATGTTTCAATAAGCCACGACACTGAAATCATGTAACATTACTAAACCAAAACCAAGGAAACCAAACAATGGCTTCCTGAATCCTCCTCCTTTCCGCCAGGAGAAGCCTTGCTCCAAGCCAGCACTTTGCCAAATTAATTTCAGGGTGCCAACATTTCATCTGCAGCAACGCTGGCCGCATCCCTGCTTGTTTTTGAGAAGTAAGTCAAAAACCGTTTTACTCCACAACTTTTCTGTTTTGTACGAGGTGGCGGGTTCAGGCCTTACTGTTATGTGCAATCAAACGTTTGGGTGAAGAGAAGCATACGTGTGTCCCAGGATAATGTTGCAGGATGTCCCTCTAGCAGAGGGTTTGCTTTGGGTTATTCTATGCGTAGTATTTACGTGGTGCCTAGCTGTGCGTCCCTTGGACTGCAAGGCGATCCAACCGGTCAGTCCTAGAGGAGATCAACCCTGGCTGCTCTTTAGAAGTCCAGATCCTGAAGAGGAAACGCAAAAGATTTTGGCCACCTAATGAGAAGGAAGGACTCACCGGAGAAGAGCCTAGTGCTGGGAATGGTTGAGGGCAAAAGAAGAGGAAGGGGACGGCAGAGAAGGGAGTGGCTGGATGGAGTAGGTGCAGAGGTGGTCTTCAGCAGGTTCTGACCAGTTCTGGAGAGCCGGTATTGGAAATTTTGAGTAGTTTGGACAGCTGGCAAATACCACCTCTGACTGATGATTTTACAGTATCCTTCCCCTGCCACGCCCACCAAACCACGCCCACAGAACCGGTAGTAAAAAAATTTGAATCCCACCACTGAGTAGGGGTGAGCTTAAATGAACTCCAGGGGATGGTAGAGGACAGGAAGGCCTCGAGGAACGTTGTCCATGGGGTTGCGATGGGTTGGCCACGACTTCGTGGCTAACAACAAGAATAACAAGGAGTTTTGTGTGGCTTTTTATTGGTTGATAGGGGTGTTGATGGCCAGCTATTAAGTTTCTGGCTGTTGTCAAGTGCTCAGCTCCTAAGTAGCAATAGCACTTAGACTTATTGGCCACAACAATCTGCTGGTCCTCATTTTACCCACCTCGGAAGGACGGAAGGCTGAGTCAACCTTGAGCCTGGTGGGATCTGAACTGCCAAATTGTAGGCAGCTGGTAGTCAGCAGAAGTAGCCTGCAGTACTGCACTCTAACCACTGCGCCACAGAAGCTCCTTATCTTTTAAGCTGGTCGTAAATCAGCCCTCCTGTTGACCGGCATCACACAGCTACACGCAACCAGGCACCCTATCAATACTACGCATAGAAATAACGCAAAGCACCTGTTCTGGCAGAGAGAAGAGCCCTGATGATGGGCTCCAGCGCGAGTCCAAAAGCTCGGACGATTAAACCTCGGGTTTCGATGACCGACCCAGATTGGATCTGGAACCATCTGGGAGCTCATCACAGAGACACGCACTCTCTCATACTCTTCAAGCCACACATGAGCTATCAGTAAGTAGGGATTCCAAATTCACAGCTAGAAGGAAGTACAGACCTTGAGTTACGACCATAATTGAGCTTGGCAAGTACGGCCGTAAGTTGCAAAGGTTATAAAGCGGGATGCCATGCGACTCGACCTGATTTTATGGACTTTTTTTTCACAGCCGTCATTAAGCGGACACCACAGTCGTTAAATGACTGTCCTCTATGGGGTAGGTCTTGCCCCAAACCAGAAATAAATGTCGATTTCCAACAAATACCATCATTAAGTTGCAGTCACGGGACTATGGGCCAATGCAAATAATTGTAAATGTGAGCCGGTTACCAAATGCCCCAAACGTGGCCCTGTGACTAGCGGAAAGGGTGGCGTCAGAACTTTGAAACCAGCTTGTCAGTAGCTTTTTTGGGGGTGGGGGATCGATCATAATTCGACCGTAATTTAAGGACTGCCTGTACGGCGCCAATGAATGAGCATTCATGTTCTGAAGCAAGCTGAAACCTGGCTCCAGAATCCCAGGAGAAATGACCTGGGAAACTGACTGCAGGGCCTGATGCTCTAATCCGGGGTGGGGGTGTCAATTTTCGAGGACCGGATCATCATTGTAGTTCTCTGCTGTGGGCCAGCAGGTGGCGGAGGAAACACGGAGGGGAAATGAGACGAGACACCTCCTGCTGGCCAAAACGGGGCACAAGGCAGCCCCCCTGCACCTCATTTTCAGCCTCCACGGTCTCCTGCAGCGCTCTCCTGGCTGAACATCGGCGGCGCGGGGGCTTCCGCGCGGCCCGTTTTTGGCTGGCAGAGTATTGCTGGAGGCCAGGGAGGAGGAAAATGGGCTGCGCAGGGGCCTTGCGAGGCTTCCGCGCAGCCCGTTTTGGCCGGCAGAGGCCCTGCGGGACAGATTTAAACACCCCCGTGGGCCTTGAGTTTGACCCCCCCCCTGCTATAACCCAGCAAAACAGGTGGGGGGAATGAAGAAGAACATAGGAATTATCAGATCCAAACGCCTGGCTCTCCCTTATTCAGCCCATCGACTGACCGAGTGATCAAGTCACCTTATTTCAGATTTTGTTTGCTTTGTCCAGCGAATAAAGAACCCGCTGACGCTGGACACTGTCCGTTCAAGAGGAAGCCATTAGTCATGCACAGAGTGGCTAGTCTGCTGGCTGCTCCCCAAAGCCAGTCAATTGCTCACCCTTCGTCTCTCCCGCCTGGTGAGGATTTGCCCATGTAACAGTCTCCAGACCATCCGAGCTGCCACTTTTGTGTCGATCCAAAGCAAGTGGAATCCATTGTAATAGTGTCTCAGTTCGTCTACAATCCTCTGCCAGAGGGATCTTCTAACTGTCCCGGCGGCTTTGTCTGGGAGACCGCCTGGAGTGGGGTCTGTTTTTACAGTACTTGGCTCAGGGGGAGGCTTGTCCTGATGCCAATAAGCTGACGTGCGAAACATCCGCATCGGTCTAATGAGGAAGTGAGGCCAACTGTTTCCCTGCGGTGAACTGGAGGGGAACGGGTGGCTTTCAGAGTCCTTCGGGAATGTTCCGTTATGGTGGGAATCCAACAGTTGAGCAAGCGCAGCGGACGAGGAGAACTGGGAACAGCAGGAGTGTACAAGAAGGCATGATGACCCTCTGGAAGAGAAAAGAGTCTAATCAGGGGGGGGAAACTAGATGTCATGGAGGGATGCATCAAGGTTGTGTTTGACCACCAGGGGCCAGGGTGGGTGTGGCCTGCTTGATGTCACCAGTGTCAGGTGTCAACTAAAAAAATACTTCTTCGGTCTTTTTAGTTCCCAGCAGAAAGGGAGTGGGGAAAAGCAATGCATTCCTCGAATGCTTCAGATAATTGCTAGGCACCCTGAAGCTGTTGGCGCGCAATATTATTACTGAAGAGCATGATTGATGACTCTTAGCTATGGATGTATCCCATTGGAGAATATACATCCAGTGGGTGGGGGTGAAAGGCCAGGGTCAAGGAAGAAATGAATGTTGTATCTTAGTGTCGGCTGCACCTGGATAACCCCGACATGGACACTCCTAATAAATCTTTTTTTTTTTTTACTCTGAGATCAGGGGTGTCTGTGGTGGCCCAAGTGCTCTGCCAGCGAAAATGGGCTCCAGAGCTCCGTTTTCGGCTAGGAAGGCCTCCTGCAGCCCTCTGCCAGGAAAAACGGAGCTCAGCCCTCCCGAGCTCCGTTTTCGCTGGCAGAGGGTTGCAGGAGGTCGTTCCATTTGAAAACAGAGATTGGGAGCCCATTTTCGCTGGCGGAGGCACCGCGGGCCGGTCCTTCGTTGTTTCCAGGGTAGCTCCACGGACCAGATCTAAGCACCCAGCGGGCCAGATCTGGCCTGCGGGCCTTGAGTTTGATACCCCAGGTCTAACTCATTGCTGCAACCAAGGTTTGGGTTATGGCTGGTCAGAGATACATTTAGCAAGGCGTTGATCAGGAGCCCTGATATTTGAAATCCAGAGGAGTCTACAAATGCCTTCTCAGACAAAGACATTTTATAGGTAGTCCTTGACTTATGACTGCAACAGAGCCTGAAGTTTCTGTCGCTAAGCAAAACATTTGCTAAGTAATCTTTGCACCATTTTGCAATCTTTCTTGCCATGGGTGCTAAGTGACTCGCTACAATTGTTAAGTTAGTCACATGTCGTTAAGTGAATGTGGTTGCCTCATTGACTTTTCATGTCAGAAGAGGGTAAAAGGAGATCACGTGACACTCCCAGGACACTGCAACCGTGTCAGTTGCCAAGTATCTGAGTAAGTCATAAGTCACTTTTGTCAGTGCCGTTGTAACAGTCACTAAACAAACAGTTGTAAGTCAAGGACTAACTGTAGGTCATTACGACCTGCAGCTTTTTTATTTGAAAGCAATTGAAGTGTTTTCCAACCTTGGCTATTAAGATGGGTGGACTTCATTTCCCAGAATTCCACAGCCAGCATGCAGCAAGGGAGTTAAAACTTAAAAGTTGCTAAGCTGGAGAATTACCTTGCTAAACTGGTGTAGGATTAAAAGTGGGTGGTGGGGGAATGGGGGGGTGGGGAAAGGAAGGGAAAACAAAGTGGTTAAGCAGATGCAGGTTACACGGAAGATATGCTAGGTTTAAGGATTGCATTTCTTCACCCCTTAACTGTATTTACCATTCTTGCAAACTGGACACAGGTTATAATTTCTCAGTTCTGGATGACTGAGGAAATTACAGGTTTTTTTGTTATTCAAACCAGACAATGTAATGTAGGAGCTCTTATATTTATTTAGTCCAGATCTCTCTTTTTTAATATTTCACAAAAAGAAAAACTACACAGGTGAGTGCTATCGGTGCACCCAATGGTGAACAAAAACAATCCTGATATTTATTTTTATTTTATTTTATTTTATTATTTTATTTATTTATTTTCTATTTTATTTTATTTTATTTTTTTATTATTTATATTGTTGCCTATTCACCCATGGCGACTCGAGGCAGCTTACACAATGTAAAACCATATTTAAAACAAAAAATAAAAACAATTAAAAACTAACAAAAAGAATCAAATAAATTAGTAAAGTATAATAGAACAAAATTTGGGAAAACAAAAAAACAAAACCAAAAATCGACTCCCACCCCCTGTCCCGATGACAGCAGATCACACTAGCTATTTGATGGGCTCCATCCCGCTTTGGGTTCCCCCAGGCCCGCTGGCAGAACCAGGCCTTCGGTGCCTTTCGGAAGTGTATTGGAGAGGGGGCCATTCTAATCTCTGAGGGAATGATGCTCCAGAGACGGAGGCACCACGGAGAAGGCCCTTCACCTGGGTCCCGCCAGGTGTATCTTCCTCAGGGGTGGGACCCGCAGCGTTCCCTGCCTTCTCGTTCTAATGGGTCAGGTAGATGTCACTGGCAAGAGATGTTTCCTCAGATAACCCGGACTTAAGCCCTGAAGGGCTTTAAAGGTGACAAGCAGCACCTTGACTTGCACCCAGAAGCAAAGATATTGCTTTCCCCGCCCCCGATTAAACTCAATACAATTGTTTTACACTGTCTACACAGAATGGTTAATACAACACCATGTCATTTTGACTGAAGCTAGTAATCAAATAAAATCCAATGAACTTCCTCCATGATAGAGAATTTATATTAACATCATCAGTACTGCTTTTGGGATGACATTCAAAGATCTAAAATAATGATATATTTCACAGATACCAAGATTTCATTTCTTACCTGGTCCTAGCTACTGCAAGGAATATGTTACAGCTGTAGATGGCCATGCTTTGCCTTGAATCTGTTTACTTATCTACGATCAGATGAAATCTAATATACCAATAAAAAATTTAGACATATGCCAGTTAAATAAAGAAATGATTTTGAAATATTTAACTACAGATACGGTCATCTAGGAAGTATTAGTAAACACAACTTCTATCCATTATAAATCTTTAGTCATACACATGAGATTATGGATCATTTCAGATTTTTACACACACACACACACACACACACACACACACACACACACATATATATATATAAACACACACGCACACATATGTTTAAGTTTTCGCGGGTATTTATATGTATGGTATTCAGCTTTGTTCGGGTATTTTCCCATGTCATTATAGTTGTGCTTTTAAAATTGTAGATAGATAGATAGATAGATAGATAGATAGATAGATAGATAGATCTTTGGTTATTTGGGTTTTCTTGAATAACCAAAGAAGCTGTACCGCAGCTGCATCACTACCCACTTCAAACCCCTCCGAGCCATACATGAAGCGAACTGATGCCCACCATGAAGATGTGGCACGACCACGAACGTGAAGCCAAACAGCAGGATCACAGCTCACCAGCTCAAATCCCCCAGCAACTAAGACTAACCTGAGCACAACCAAGCCCCGACCTGAACAGAACACAACCCCAGCCAATCAGAACACAGCCAAGCCCCAAACCAATCAGAACACAGCCAAGCCCCCACCCAAGTCACACCCCCACCAGCAGTCAAAAGGAAGAAGCAGCTGCAAGTTTGGATATCCTTTTTGTTAGCTCAGACCCTATGAGGGGAAATGTTTAATAACAGAATTACTCATGAAGAATTGGATTCCAAGAGATTGACTCCCCATATATGGATCATTGAGTCTTATATTACAAAATATGGAATGCAAATAAAGTAATTGCCTATTTACTTAGACTTAGAACTTAGAATAACTTCATTGTCACTTTAAATGTACACCACCTCCAATATAAACTAAACATGATAAATGAAGGAAGGAAAGAAGG